CTATCATAGGATTTTAACAATAAACTCCACGGATGATTATAATTATTGTTATTATGTATTGTATAGATTTCTCTAAAAATATCAAAACGATGGTAAAGCGCGAGCACGTTTTCCGCTTTCTACCCCGTGTGTTCAGCGGTTAACTCTCACTTTGTTTTAATGAGTTCGTGAGACAACTGCTTCGGTTCTATGCTCTTCATTTTTTTGCATAAAAATTATCAACAATAATTGCAACAGAATCAGTTATTTTTATATAATAATAGACGTTATAATAATAAAATATTAATATTAACATTATTATTAATTTATCCAGGTTCTTTCTATTCTATATATTCCTGTATTTAAATATTTTATATATAATTAATTAAATATTATGTTTTGGCGATTGATAAGCTAAATAGCACATTTCCATTTTCTTTTAGCAGGTTATTTATGCCATAAATATTCACAATCAATGACTCAATCACTTAACTTTATTAAATAACCCAATTAAAATTATCAATATTGCCTAAAAAAATATCTTATTAATCGAAATAATGATATAGACTAAAAAGTACAACAGGGACATATTTTTTAGGCTAAGGGCATACTACGAGTTGTTGACCATGCGGAAAAAATAAGAACGAATATTCGTTATCGTTGTATTTTTTGAGGACTTTGGTAGAAATTTTACTATTGAAAGTACAATACGCACTGTCTAAAACAAAATCTTATTTTTTTTATAACATATGAAGGAAATGATCATGTAGAGAGAGAGATTACCGTCGCCCGTAGGCACCCGTAACAGCAAACAGCTTACAGGTGTGTTATCGACCTTTTAAGTAGGAATATACTCAAACCTTGAAGGTTTGTTGGTTAGTTTGAAGGGTGGGACATGGTAATAAAATTGGATGGAACAGGAATTACTTCTTAATAATAGCAACACGTAAGGGATGTATGTCATGCATCACAAAGTATCCTGTAATACCCGTGTTACTATATAATTTTATAGATCATCGTTTCTTAAGCAAGGAGTCGCAACCCTCAGAGAATGGGGTGTATTATTCAACTACTATACCTAATTATTCGACTGAACAATTCATTCGAATTGTTTAAATGATTTTCAAATCATTCGATTAAGAGATTTTGGTTTCTAATTAGTAAAACTATAATTATAATGTTATAGTAAGGGGTGGCAAAACATTTTACTTAACTTTTTGGCTTTTTTTTGGGTCGCAACGTAATTTAAAATGAAATTAAATTTATTTGTCTGAAACATTGTAGATAAGATGTTGCATTTGTCAAGTTTACAAGATGTCTATTATGTTTCGCCACATCCAATGGCATGCAAATATTAACCTTTGAAAATATTTGAAAAACAATGCTGGTTAAAAATTTATAAAAAAAGCAGAACAACATTTCAACAATCCGTAAACTTTTTTTAGTTTGGAGATTGTTTCATGACACATAAATTTGCATGGATGTACAAATTATTTATTTTATTTTATGATTGGAAAGCACCTACACGGAAAATCCGCTTCGGCATACACATAACAGACGTAAAAACAACATATTACATAAATAGTGTAATAATAATTGAGATTCACAAATTATACACGTTTATCGAATTTTTGACGTAATTGCGTAACAAAGCAACAAAAAAAAAAAAACATAGATGAATAGTAAAACATCCTTTTGGAAGTCGTTTTATAGGAATATAATAAAGTTAACTAAAGTCATACACCGAGCGTATCGTACTTAGATAAAATTCCTATTTCTTCCTTTTCTATTATAAATTCCCCGTTTTCGTTAAATAAATATTTATAAAAATATTTTGGTAACGTGCTTTATAGTGCTTTACCAGCTTAATCAATCACTATGAAATTTAGTATACATAAACTATATAGAATGGAAAAATATATAGGCTACTTTTTATCCCGGTCAGTTAATATATTCCAGTCAAATGGACGAAGTCATAGGTAAAAGCTAGTGAAAAGAATTAACTTAGGAAAAAATTGTTCATTCCTTTTTTATTGTAACAAAGATTCAATCCGATAGTTCTTGCAATTCCAACTGCATAACTGTGATCAAAAACAGAACTTGTTAGTAACGTTGATTTAGATTTCCTGTTATTTTCACATATAGTTACTATATTCACATATAGTCTTATATATAGATTGTTATTATTTAGATTTCCCGCTTCACGAACTACGAAGATAAAGACGATGTAATTGTATTTTCTTCTATGGAAGATGATCTTTTATGATACAAAATATGTTTTGTATCATAAATCGCCAAAAATTACAACACAAAAAAAAAATGAAATAATGGTTTTAGAATATTTATGCGAATAAAGTTCTTTAATATAAAAAATATTTCAAATAAATAATATTAGTAAATTTCTGAAAAATAACACTGACAGACAGAGGGATAAAAACGTAATATAAAATGTTCCTTTATACCATTTTAGTACGGAAACCTAACAATTTATTAAGAAGAACAACAATATACACTCATTAAAAGTTTGGGAAATCCGGTAAGTACAGCCATTAAAGATGATAAAATAGTACCGTCACTTGCTAAGTATTGCGTGCCTCGTACTAATTATAATTTGTTAAGAAACAATCTAATCGTGTCGGTAAACCTTGACATGACTACAATTTCTTGATCATCGACAACCGACTCATTCGGCTACATTATCTTTTCTAACTAAAACATTGTACATTTTGCTCTGGAACAAAACATTCGACGACTTCAATCGTGTACAAGAACACATACATGCACTCGTACACACATATGTATATACCCATACATACATCCCTAACAACAATGACTTATTTCATAGATATAAATTACTAGCTTTTGCCAGTGTGATCACTGACCGGGATAAAATGTAGCCTATGTTAATCTCCATTCCTCATAACACGTTGTTAAGGTGCTAACAGATAATAGACAGAGGAACAAACTTACTTCACATTTAATTCAATTAATGATTAGGATTTAAATGTTTATAAAACGTTTAAACTGAAAGGATCTCTATAATATTTGGTATACAAATGGACCTAGATATTAAATTAAATCATAGAGTTACACATAGAGCTATTACACAATTTACACGAGCAGGACCATAGGATACAGTTAGTATGATAGTGTTATGTCTAATTTCCGTATGTATAAAGACTATTACTAAGGTCACTGATGTTGTGACATACAATTACAATAATCACAATAAATTGTAATTATAAGACGATTACAATATAATCTAATGGCATACTTGATTAGATGTTATAAAGTGAGTGAAAAACACATAATTATATACATTTACCATAAATATAATTCAACAGTTAATTTGTTGATCTGATGGTCACGTTTGAGATAAGCCACTAAGAAGGGTTAGGTTCTCAAAAGTGGTTAAGGGTAAGACAAGTGTATAAAATAGACAATGTACAACAGGCGCCTCAGAATTGACCCTAATAACACAAAAACATTTATCAGATTAATCATGGACAGCGCAACTGATATCAGCTAGTGCTTGCTTATAACAATTACTATTATGATGATCATCTTAATGGTGATTACAATTGCTGTAAGTTGCGACCTGTATCTATTCATTACTGGACAAAGGCCTCCATCAATGCTTAACACCATATGCGATCCTCTGCTTTTCATAGCTGTGCGTCCACTTACGGTTCTGTTTGTGATAGCAATTACCTATTATTGTAAAAAAAAGTAAATAATTATCAATTTGCCCACATTTTGCCAAACATATCATTTAAATAGTTGTTACCGGATGAGCCTTTCGATTTTACCTCTTGAATTATGAATAGGTAGTAATAAATGACTTAGATAGAATGCTCTATTATTTGTTTATCTCTTTTGAAAAACAATTAGCAAATCAAAACTATATGTTGTGCAACTATTTCATTCAAATCTATATTGGAAATCATTTTTCCTCCGCATAAAGATCAATAAGAAAATAAGAACATACTTTTGTTAAAAGATAAAAACCAACCACGGTCACCTAGCGGCGATATAGCACAATGTATGCAATATCAACCACATTAACGTAATTCGAAACATATTCAAGAGATGGCGTTGAGTAGATTTCATTATACAAATATAGATGGCGTTAATTGTATTCAAAGCTACTATTAAAATGGAGAAAGAGAGCGTAGCTATTTATTTATTATTAATTTTATCGAGTTTATGCATATAAAGTTGACATTTGCGTGTAAATTATTTAACATTTAGGTTACTGGGCCTGCTCATCGACCTCTCGTCTACACGCGAAAGTAGCTCTTGCATCATTGGATAGATCGACGTCTCATAACACTTGCATCATTTGAAGGAAGTTATGTGAGGCTGTAACTTGTCTCCATTTATTTATCTCATAATATAGCAACCTACCTGACTGATGAATATGAAATTTAACGGTACGTATAAAAATAGAAGCATAATATGTGATTGTTGTAATAATAACACACTTGAATAAGAAATTAATGCATAATTATGCAATAAAACAAAAATATCTATATTAATTATAACTGTAATGTAATAAAATGAAAATAAAAGTGTATATCTTCGCTAAAACTCATATGAGATACACAAAGAGCTAATTTCCAAAGAACCGCTTCCTTGTATAGATACGTATAATTTGAAAAACTACATTTACTTAATTCTTACGCCTAAATACTTATTTCTCTTTCTGCACATAGTGAGTAAAATAAAACTAACACAACCTCTGTTGCGAAGCCGCAACATCTAATTTGCTATATTTCATTGTAAGGAAGATTAAAATATATAATTTTAAAACATAAGAGAAATTACACTAGTCCTCAGCAGTAGCATAGCAAGAAGCATAGCTTAAGTCTTATAATATCTTATGCTGTATAGAACTTGTTTTCTCAATTTTCATCTTGCAATATTTAAGTATTTAAATATATCCAACAATGTGAATCCAACAATGGGTATTCCTAATACTTCTAATATAACGTCTGATACAATTAATTAAGGTTACTTACCCCGTAGTCCAACTGAACATTTGTTTCACTCTCTCTGAAGGTAATTCCGTGGGAGTAGCCATTATCTGTAACAATATAATATAGTGTTAAATAAATATACCTAATATATTACGTAATACAATGTTTTTATGCAACTCTGAATGGCTATTAAGCCAATAGCCAATTAGATGAAAAGTGATAAGTGTAAACATAATCCGCATCATGGGCATCCCATAATACCCTGTATATACTGTAATGCCCATGGTGCCTTTCATACACATTCCTAAGAACTATTAAATAATAGTTCTAGTTATACAGATAATAACCATTTCTTATGGAAGATCCATATAACATATAATAAGTATTGGTAGCTAAAATCTAAGCCGCGAGTCACAGTCCAGCAAAAGCCAAGAAACCGATTTTAGTGCCCGTTTGTATCAAAGAACAGAAAAACTTTATCTATGGTCAGAGTAGAACAAATTGCAGTCTTTGGTTAACCCCTAAAAGAATATTTACACTAGATTACATAATTGTTACTATCCAACATGAGGCATTAGTAAAATGAAACCACGTGTTTCGTACTAAGAACAATTAAGAGAAAGCTGTTACGTAAATGGAAGGCAATCAATTCAACCATCTGACGAGTCATATTTTATACGTTACCGTCAATTTATCAAATCGATTTCTTTCATTTAAGAGTGGCTGTACATTATGAGATTTTAACTAGACCTAGATCTAGAATAAGATCTAACCTGGATCTGAAGCAAAGAATAATTTTGTCTAATGGAGACAAAATTTCCTTAATATGTATTTCATCATCATCATTTTAAAAACACTATATTCGCAATTTCTTTGGTAGATATGATATAATGAGGCATTTAATGACTCGTATATTATATATTTCCCATAAAGAGACAATAAATAAGTAATAATGATGAATTTTTTTTATACAACTTAGAATGGCAAACAAGCTGATGGCCCACCTGATGGAAAATGGTAACCGTCGCCTATAGACATGAGCAGTACCATGAACATAACATAGTATACTGTTTCGCCCATGATACTCCCCATGCGTTGCCATTCCTGAGGACTAAGGTGTTGTTCCTCTATACCCAGTAAATTCACGCCATATCCCACCCTTCACACCAAAACACAGCCATGCAAACACAACTGCTTCACGATTGAAACACGAATGGGACAGAGGTACCCAAGCAATCGACTTTTGTACAAAGTCTCCTTCTGGTAATGATGAATTATGTACATCAGTAGGCACATAGTATTTAGAAGATATTAAATAACTAACCTTACTTCACGAAAGAATCCTTTTTTTAAAACCCTACGCAAAGAAATGATAATGGTAGTGAATTCAAGTTGGATCATCACCGATTACATAAAAAGTCGTTAGCTAAAGTGATAAAAAGACTAACAGCTCTTTTATTGTTATTATTCGCGAAAAGGAATTAATTTTATAACATTTTAGGAACCATATTCATTTTATATTATTACATCGCATGTTGAATAACAAATGTATATAATTATAGTACCGTGATTTAGGTATTAAGTGCCATACACAATTTGGTACATCAATTACCTGGCTTTTAAAGTAGATCTTGGGATACGAGAAATTAAACAACGAACATTTACAGACATAACCCCGCATACTCAGGCCCAAATAAATTCAAACTTAAACTGGCCCGACTTAAATGAAGCCCAGGATTAAATTTTAGTCAGCCACTCTACCATCGCACTCTACCATCAATTTTACTACCCATTGTCTTTTCTGAATACCTTGTGTCAGTTCTACAAAGATTTACGATTCAGTCAATATGTAGGTAATGTGAATCTGCTTAAAGAGCAGCTAAGATTTCGGCTTGCAATCTTCAGCAATCATCATGTTATCATCTGTATATCATTATCTCAAAGAAAAAGATGCTTAATAAGAAATTAAAACGTTCTGTATAATAAAAAAAAACCTATTTCCAGTAACTAGAAAAGACGTGGACAAGAAATAGATATTTGTATTAAAATGTCGGAAAAGGATAAAACAATCTAAAGAGCTAAAGCAAATATTTAGATAATAAAGTCTCGCTTGTGTAGCAGGTGTTAAGTCCACGATAATCACCTATTTAATACCTTTTGGTTTCATATATATGTATATAAAACACATGTAACTGGCATTATCATTATTATGAATTATTATTTATATAATTTGACTCTATACACCTCTAGGTACTTTAATAACGCAATTAAGGGAGCGCGACATAATTACGTGGGTCATTAATGGTTAGTCGTGTTACAGTAATTGTATAAAGTTGTGAAATGCAGTGCCGATTTACAATTGGATTGGACCGCCATGATGGAATAGAGACGACTTTGTAATAGAGCCCGCTGTGGATTATTGCACACCATAACATAATAAATAAAAAACAGCCAACGCCGTATCAGATACGCGTTAATATTATTTATAGCCGTAAGATTTTTTTATATAGAGAAGGTAGCAAACAAGCATACCGCCCGCCAGATGGCAAGCAATTACCTACCGACTACAACATCGTACACGTTGCCGACCCTTATAACTCTTACAAGATCTTGCGTCACTATATTATTTAACTTGGTTACTTTTAGATATCTCGTACGTTGTAATATAAATTGACCAACAATTTTGTACTTTGACTAGTGTTAATTAAAAACCACTATCTTGATTTCATTCATATTTTTCACATTACGTTGTTAAAAAGTTACACTAGATAAATATTGAACTACACTTTTCATCTGAAAAGTATAACCTTCTCTAACTTTAAGAGCATTTGTTGATAATTATTTCGCTTGCAAAGAAAGGGCCTTTTCCTTCGCTAATGACAGCTTTAATCATCATGAAATCAATATTAGACTAACACCATATACATTGCAAAATGGACTATATTGCAATATAGATTCAGAATTACAGACATAACATAATTATAAAAACAAAATACAGGGTAATTGATTATCTCCTTCTATTAGGAGGTGCATAAAAAATGGTTTTATATACCGTGATTCGGGTAATACAAACGTTTTCAAGTTACAACACGTCTTTAACTTCACTAACTGTGATTGCAGATGTTAAGATACTGAACGCAATCATGTTGGAAGTACAATTAAAACATGAGTTGCATACAGATGATTTCTTTACTGTAACGTCAAGGTGAAACGGAACATTTAAAAGTCGTCAAGCATTCGCTGATACTTCGGTGTCTTTAACCGACTTGATGAGACAGAAGTATAAAAAATCTAGATACACAATCAGACACTAAAAAATGGCACTGAAAATAGAACGCATTTACACAATTTTGCATTCATCTCTAACCATACAACGACGTAGTGGCAGCTGCTGTAAAATTTATCGTTCGTAGTCAAACAAGCTAAAATGTTCTTAGTGATTGTGTAATTGTCTTAGTAGTATTTAATCTATAATATAAAAATAAATCGCTGAATGTGTTGCTAAGCGCACATCTCGAGAACAGCTAAACCGATTTCGGTAATTATTTTTTTAGAATATTCCTTGAAGTACGAGGATGGTTCTTACGGCGAGAAAAATTTTAAGAATTGCCTGAAAAAGTCTAAAAATAACATTTTTCTATACTCCCATACAAACGATTCGTAGTAATACTTAAAAGTCATTTTGAACTTTAATACAATACCGTAAAGTTCAAGTGTTAATGGAGAGGTGCCGGAAAGGCAAAACTATTGAGTGACGTAGCACGGCGTGCTTTGTAATTTTTATTTTTTGACATAATATAATTGCTGACATTATTAATTTTCTTTTCCTTTGTTTTACCATTCTAGCTGACCCGGCGTCCCGAATAGCACAATAAGTATTAAAAAAAAATTAAAGAATCGACTGTTAGGTGGTACGATGTTCGCAGTGTCAGCTAATTTACAATAAATATTTGCCTACGCTCAGGTCTTATCTTATAATAATTCTTTTTTTAATTTACCTAATCTTTTGAATGTAACTGAGAATCTTTAAATTTTTTGGATAGATAGATAGATACTCTTTATTGTATCCTCTAAAAGTTTACAATAGTAAACTTAATATAAATATAAACAACTACAATAAATAATCACAATGAGAAAACAATGGGTGACCTTATCGCTAAAAGCGATCTCTTCCAGGCAACCTTTGGATGGAGAGGAGTAATTATAAACAGTTTGTTAGAGGCATAATGAAATTCTATTATTTCTTAATATAGAGATATGATACATGTAATAATGTAAAATATATATCCCTACTCATTATATACACTTATATACTATTTTATATATATATATATATATATACATGAATAATATTAAACTAAATATAAATGAACAGATAAAAGTTATAACTTAAGTAGAGTTTTTCAATATACGAGTATATTATTCCTATTTGTATTATAAATTTATATACTAATTTAGTACATTGCATATCATATTAGGACTAGATCATTATCAATGATCAACTTGGATACAACTTGCATGGACAGTTGCATTCTTGATAACCGGTTTCGGTCATCGACCACTACAACTGCACGTTCTTGCATTAGATATTTTTGACTGATGAATAAAAATAAGGAAATAGTTACGATTGTGTGATTAAGGTGTTTGTTTTGTAATTTCCCTGTAGTTTTATATTTTACGGTTTCTGTTCCTACAGGACTTATCAAATGAAGACTAGACAATTTGAATTGGGTACAACCAATAATTACTTCTGTTTAATAATATTTTTAAAAATTACTTAATTTGTCAAATGTAATCTGAGCATTCTTTTTTCCACAAGTGGTTTTATCCAAATATATTAAAATTATTTGAAATTTTATATCATAATATAGTATAAGACCAGAATATTCAGGTGCTATGTTGTTTGGAAAACCAGAATATTCTTTCTCAGTATTACAAAAAATACCAATACCAATAATTCTGTACTGAATCACTAAAATTCCATGTTACTATCAAATAATTTTTTATTTATTATTTGATCAATGGTCAGTCCACAAAGGCACTATTTATCACTTCAATTCGCTAAAATGCTGACACAAAGTAAGCTCTTAAAGTAAGTTAGCTCTTC